CTGGCATACATAATCATCATTTTCAACTATTTCTTCCGCCAGCTTCTGTTTTTTTATGCTCACCGAAAAATTCTGGGGGAGCATATAGTCGGCGCCTTGTCCGTCTGTCCGTCCGTCCATCTGTCCGTCCGTCTTGTCCGGAGCATAACTTGAAAACCCTTGGAGATAATTTGTTCAAACTTCATACAGTGGTAGAGGGCATTGAGGGGGAGTGCAGTGTCAAAGAACCATAACTATATTTTGCCCGGTTTTTTAATTATCTCCCCTTATAAAAAAAATCTTGTCCGGGACATAACTCTAAAACTATAAGAGATATCAAGATGAAACATTATAGGTAGATAGATCTCATTGAGTAGAAGTGCAGTGCAAAAGAACCATAACTCTGTTTAGCCTCATTTTTGAATTATCTCCCCTTTTCGAAAATCTTGTCCAGGACATAGCTGTAAAACTATAAGAGATATCAACATAAAACTTTGTAGGTAGATATATCTCAATGGGTAGATGTGCAGTGCACAAGAATCATAACTCTGCCTTGCCTAATTCTGGAGTAATTGCCCTTTGTTAGCTCAACTATTCGAAGAATATGAGAGCTATTGTAGTCGCCCCGGCGTCGGCGTCGGTGTCAGCGTCGGCGTCTGCGTTGGTTAAAGTTTTTTGTAAAGTCAAATATCTCAATTATTACTTGAGATATTCAATTGAAACTTACCATACTTATTTATAGTAACAAGGTACATCAGATTGACAAGTTGGATAACTCTGCCTACAATATCGACAGAATTATGCCCCTTTTTAACTTAGAAATTTTGGTTAAAGTTTTTTGTAAAGTCAAATATCTCAATTATTGCTTGAGATATTCAATTGAAACTTACAATACTTATTTATAGTAACAATGTACATCAGATTGAAAAGTACGATAACTCTGTCTACCATATTGACAGAATTATGCCCCTTTGGAACTTAGAAATTTTGGTTAAAGTTTTTTGTAAAGTCAAATATCTCAATTATTGCTTGAGATATTCAATTGAAACTTACAATACTTATTTATAGTAACAATGTACATCAGATTGACAAGTACGATAACTCTGCCTACCATATTGACAGAATTATGCCCCTTTGAAACTTAGATATTTTGGTTAAAGTTTTTTTGTAAAGTCAAATATCTCAATTATTGCTTGAGATATTCAATTGAAATTTAAAATACTTATTTATAGTAACAATGTACATCAGTTTGCAAAATTGCATAACTCTGTCTGCAATATTTGCATAATTATTTGCCCCTTTGAAACTTAGAAATTTTGGTTAAAGGTTAAAGGTCTTCAAAGATATTTACTTGAAACTTTACACATGCACTTAGGGTCATAATTGGAGTGTCATAATTATGTGTCACTGACCAAGTTCCATAACTCTATCTTGCATTAAGGCTGATTCATATCCCCTTTTCTACTTAATCACTTGGTTAATGTTTACATGCAAGTTTTTTAGGAAACTACCCGCCTATATGACTGAAATACTGTTGGAAAAAGGCGTAAAATGAAACAAACAAACAAACAAACAAACAAAACATGCAAGTTTTACATATCTCAATAACTATTAAAGATATTTATTTAAAACTTCACATATGCATTTAGGGTCATAATTTTAGGTCACTGACAAAGATCCATAATTCTATCTTGCATTTAGGCTGATTTTTCTCCCCTTTTTCAACTTAGAAATTCATGGTAAAGTTTTGCTTGTAAGCTGTTATCTCAATAACTACTGAAGGGTTTGTGCCTTTTTTGGGACAATTTTATGCATTCATAATAATAAAGCAGTGATTTACTTGATAAAACATCTTAATAACAAGCTTTTGTACCTTTTCTGTCAAATTTATGTATTCTTAGGTAATTAGTATTATTATACTCAATAAAAAACCCTTGTGACATTACCTTCCGAATAGTCAAGCCAATTCTGTATAATTAGACTCTCTCTAAGGCCTATAACATGAATTTATAAAAAAAAAATAGCCCTTTTGTGAACTTAAAAAATATAACATTATCAAGGCTCTTTTACTATCAAGCACTTAGAATAGTCGAGCGTGCTGTCCTACAGACAGCTCTTGTTTATTTTTACTTTTTGAAGTTGTCTGGGACATAACTAGGAAACCATAAGAGATATCAACAAGAAACTTTGTAGGTTGACAGATCACATTGATTAGAAGTGCAGTGCAAAGAACAGTAACTCTGCCTTGCCTAATTTTGGAATTATTGCACTTTGAACTTTTTCCAGGGACATAACTCTGAAACTATAAGAGGTGTACTTTCCTGTGTCCAAAACCTATTCAGGGAGCATCACCCTGCCTAAACCGGGCTCTTGTTTTATTCTTTTGCCAACTGTTGTTTTTTTCCCTTTTCAAATTCTGGCTTTTCAATTTCCTTCTTGATGACAAACCACAAATTTAAACAGCACGATCATCCAAGTATAAGTCAATTTCTGAAATGTCTTCGCTCACTTCGCTCAGTACTTTCACATCACTGATGCTGTACACTTAAGTTGTTCTGCACATTTTTTAACACCTCAACACAGGATTTTCTACTAACATAGGCGTGACTGTTGTATGATCAGTTTCATTGTCAGGTTTCATATCGGCAAAATTATCAGTATTAGCAATAAATGCATTTGGCTTGTTAATAGAAGGTAATGATTCATCAACAGCAATCTGCCTGAGTACATCGAAGTCCAGGTTGGAGCATGGTTGATATATGTAAGAATTACGAAGTTTGTCCCAAGTGACTGAATATGGCCAGAATATGCTTGCAGGGCCAATGTGATTTTGCAAAGTCCGGACACGAGCAGTATGAAACTTGATGTTTTCATAATTAATTTCATACTGTGAAACAGTGAATTTTAGAGAGTCTGGTGACTGTTGTTTACTTATTTCGTCCTGATGTATGAAATCTATATTGGAGCAATCCTCCTCACAAAATGGTCTACAAAGGGCTTTGGTTTTCCCTTCAGGAAGTTTGGCAGGTGTTGTATGATCTGGTCTGTTCTAATGCTAGAACATTGCTCATAATGTACCTGGTACAAAAAAAAACACAAAAACATTAGGAACAGTTAAATGTTAACAGATCAATGACATGGCCATCAACAAACTGATTCACCAAATGTCTATGCTTTGGGTACTGTGAATTCAAACAAGATTTTCTGAGGTTTAAAAATCTTGTTCAAGGCCCAATGTAATGCTAGATTTATTCATGCAGTAACAAACAATACCTTACAGGGATCTGGCTCAGAGTAACATTAGACCTTTATTTTCTTAGGTAGATTTTGAAATGACATGTACACAGGTGATCATATAAGATGGACTTAAGGTAATGTGGCTGGATTATTTGCATTCAACAATACCTTGTAGTATAATTGAAAAGAGCATTCAGACAAAATGGCCTGATAAAGATTTAAGCTTAAAATATTAAAATTTTACTCACTGTGCCTGCATTTCTGGGAAGAACCTTTTCACCAATACAGTCAGCAGTGATGTCAAAGTCCATCCAAATCCACTTTCCTACAGGTACTTTTCCTTTAACAGCTTGTGCATCGTTCAACACCATTGGTGGTGTTGATGGAGATGTTCAGCAAACATTGCTAAAAGCAGTATACCCATCTCTGAAAAATTTGAATGAAGTTAATATTTGTTGAAATAATTCTATATATCTATAAACTAAAAATGAGCCCATAGAACACAGATGTCCCAAGTTTAACTCTTAGCACGCTAAGTAACCAATTATGTGTTGTGTAACAGAACACTGTGTAATTATTTGTAACATTTATGATTTTCATATGCATTTGATTTGCATGACTAGATTGAAAATAAAGCTTTGTTAAATGATAATCTGTTATATTTATCAATATATTATACTCTGTCCAATATATTAAAGTTTTCAGCAAATACCAAACTGTTAACAAATGCACAATTTTTGGGGTAAAATGTCAGTTTTTTGTAAATAAAACCACAAATTTTTGGAATCTAGACATATCTCCTTTGTTTTTTATTCTAAAACACCTCAAAACAGTCATAAACATGTCTATAAACTTGTGTCTAACTATGCAAAGCAGCAGTACAGTTAATTTTATAGTCTTTCAAGGTGTGATAGCGCTCAAAACATGGGTATGCGCACATAGGTTTTTCACATTCTGCACAAAAATACTGGGTTTGGTGGCGTTTGACTGTTCTATTACTACACACTTCACAATCTGGACTAGACCTTCTACCACCACCAATCATTTTAGGATTCAACCTAGGAAAATGTCTCCCTGCCAGTCTCATTGGAGGATTAGATACTGGGCGGCGGAATGGCCTGGTCTGCACATCATACCCGTCCAACAAACCTGTGATGATTTCGAGATGGAATTTTTCAGATTTTACACGCTTATTCACATTGATTGGCAGTTCTTTGTAAATGATTTTAGCATTAACAACTGTCACTTCAAGTAAATTACACAAGAACAGCTTCTTCCACCATTTTAACATCTTATGTAAAGTAACACAGTACTGGGTTTGTTGGTCGGCAAGATCTACCCCACCCATAAAATGAGTATATAGCTGAATGGATTTGGGATGATCAACTTCCCGAACATAGTCTGCATGAAATCTTGATCTAACTCGTTTGGTAAAAGTGGATCCATTATGCACTGTTGACAAGACATGAACTAGTCTTTTGTCATGCCAAGTTATGTATAGTTTACGACCATCTCGGTGATTTAGTGGGGGGTCACCTTTGTTCAGCTTGGCAGTTTTGACCTGAAAATACAGAAAAAATCAAGAAATATTATTTTCTTTGTATAAAATTCATTGTTTTTATAGGTTATCAAATGTTTTACTTTTCTGTGCTTGTAAAATGACAAATAAATACAAAATTTAACTTCCGTTGTGTAAATAAGAGGCATATTCTCAACACAAAGTATACATGAATTCGGACGCAAATTTTCGGCTAAAAATTTACAGAGATGTAAATAGATCACATTTTGCCACTTATCTTGCAAAAGATTTAGACTTTTCATTGTGTAATTAAATATAAAGAAGAATTATGCTATATAAGTCCATTTTTTAGATATTACCTCCCTCGGGACCCCAACTCTGTTCACTCGGAGTGTGCCACATGCTCCCGTTTGATTGTCTGCCAAGTCCTCAAACAGGGCTGGGCTGGTAAAATAATTGTCACAATATACATGATGTCCCAAATTTAGTAGTGGGTCACACAATGTCATAACAATCTGATGGGTAGCACCTCTAGCCTGTTGATCATGTGTGTGTTTCCCAGTATATAACATCCAATTCCAAACATAGCCAGATTTTGCATCAGCTAATGTCCAAACTTTCAGACCCCATTTGTGGGGCTTGTTAGGTATATATTGGAGTAATTTAGTCCGCCCTTTATATGGCACAAGAGTTTCATCGATAGAAACCTCACGTTTTGGTTTATATGCCTGTTTCCATTTGTTTACAAGCATGGAAGACAGGCGTGATATTTTATAACCCGGATCATAGTTTGGGGAGTCACGTGGAGGCTCGGCAGAATTATCACAAGCATGCACAAATGACAGTATATTATAAAATCTGTCTCTAGTCATATAAGATGTTATACTTTTCAAGTTAATTAGATCATTGGTAGACCAATACATGTCATAATTTGGAAGTCTCACTAATCCCTGGTACAATATGATGGCTAGAAAAACTTTCATCTCGGGCATGTCCACAGGTGTCCATGATCGAAACCGTGAATATGTAGGTAAGTTTTCAATTCCCCCTTTTGCTACTAAATACTGATCATAATATAAATTTGTTTGTTCAACCAACAATTCAAGAACTTCATTGTCCACAAATTTACTGAATATTTCGTAGGGAGAACTTTCGTCATCAATATTAGTTGGTCCAGAATCTACATTGAAATTACGAAGCCAGTCATGATCATATGCCTCGAAGAACACATCCCTTTCTTCACGATCAATTTCATTTAAAATGTCTCGAAGATCTTCATCCCCTAACTCAACGTTTTCTAAATCATTTATTTCGTCATATTCTGCATTTATTACGTCTATAGGGTCAAATCCCTCGAATTCCTCGTCATCACTATCGCTCGTAATAATGTCTCTAAATTCATTGTTCGACATAATTGAAACAAACTCCAAAAATCGTTCAAAAATGCCTCAAAACGCGACAATAAACTTATTTCATGGAGGCTGCCATTTTATCTAAGCCTTCCGGTAGTAGTCGTACTGCGCATGTGTATTGGAAAACCACTATACTAAGAATAGAACATATTGTAAAGAGGTACCCCACAGGGCGGATTTTTCCGCCATTCGCGAGACAATACTTAAGTGCTGACGGCGGATCGGCCCGCCACTAGCACGGTAAGAGTTAAACCTTTAAAACAGAAGCATGTGTAGTGTAGACATCAAGGTCTCTCAGCTTTGCTACTTCTGCATTGAAGGCTGTTTCTGCAGAGCATCTTGATATGAATTAAGATATTACCATTGCCTTAGATTCTTGTACATCACAGTAAATACCTTGAATACATATACAATATATGAGAAATAATGATTGCTGATTCTAAAAGTTTATTGTTGGGGATCACATGTAAAGGTTAGGATAATTGAAATTTTACAAACAGCAATTCTTATTCAATAACCGCATATCTTGTTATGCAACCTGCTTCTCCCACTATTAATTTGAGTATTGAATTTAGAAATACGAAATAATCATGAAAGTCATACTAACCATTTGTTGCACCAGATGTGTAATAGGCATTTCTTTAATATCAAGTTTATTTAAAACTGAACTCTACATCATTTAACTGAAAAGCATACCAAACTTCTGACCAGAAACAAAATCAATAATGAGGCCATTGTTATTTCACCCTGACATTGCATTGCATTTATGTTGACATGTTTAAAATGAATCTTGTAAAATCTGAGAGTGCAATGAAGTCCTATTTAAATATACAGTAAGTTAATCAAGATATACCAAGCATCTCAATGAACCCCTGGATAGCTGGAAGTAAACAAGGCTGTTCGATATTAACTCAGACTCTTAAAATTGGCTAGAAGAAGTCAAACGAACTCCAGTTCACTAACAATACCTGTTTAATGGTGATCAGTATACTAAAACTTACTGTTTTTAGCTCGACTTTTCTATGAAAAGGGGAGCTATCCTACTCGCCCCAGCGTCGGCGTCGGCGTCGGCGTTGGCGTCACACCTTGGTTAAGTTTTTCGTACCACCCCACTTTATTTCAGAAGTATTACAAGTATGGCTTTGAAACTTACCATACTTGTTCACCATCATAACCTCCATCTACAGACAAGAGTACATAACTCTGTCAAGGTTTTTGACAGAATTATGGCCCTTTTTTGACTTAGAAAGTGTATTGAGCTTGGTTAAGTTTTTTGTACCACCTCACTTTATTTCAAAACCATTGGAGGTATTGCTTTGAAACTGACCATACTTGTTTACCATCACGACCTTCATCAACAGACAAGAGGACATAACTCTGTCAAGGTTTTTGACAGAATTATGCCCTTTTTGACTTAGAAAATACATTGAATATGGGTAAAATCCACTTATTGCCTTAACCCTTTGAGATATTGCTTTGAAACTTTTAATGCTATTTCACATCATTACCCCCATCTGTACGCAAGAGAAGGTAACTCTGTCAAGGATTTGTTTTAAAAATTAAGGCCTTTTATCGACTTAGAATCTTGGTTAAGTTTTTAGTACCAGTCCACTTTTTGACTGAACTGTTTGAGATATTAATTTGAAAGTTGGAATACTTGTTTACAATCATGATTCCCAAACATGTCCAGGAGAAGGTAATTCTGTCAAAGATTTTATTTGAATTATGGCCATTGTTCACTTTAAAAATACAGAGATTCTTGTATTGCCTTTTACTGCAAAAACTTTTTTTATTGGCAAGCAATAAAAAAGTCGAGCGCGCTGTCTTACGGACAGCTCTTGTATGATTGTATCCTTTTCCTATCTGACTCCATTCTTTTTTTTGCTCCAAGCCATCGCTGCCAACCCTGTTCTCGGTGAAAATCACACAGAAGAACACGTGTATCTGAAAATAAATACAAATACAAGTGTAAACATAAACTAGACCCTTTTGACAGCCCATACTTGCATTAGGACGGTAACATTTTAGGTTCTTGAATCCTAATTAAAAGCTCTCACTGTTTAATGTGTACAATATATTTTGTATGTATTTTTTGTGATATACAATGTAGAAGGGGAAAGGCTCATTCCCAATAAAGTGCGACATTTGAGCTCTAAGATTTAGATTTTTTTAAATGAATGAAAATTCACTTTTTATGGTTCTATTTTTGCATCTATATATGTATATAACATGTCCCAATATTTTCTTTCCTTTGGATATTTTTTAATTTATTACGTATGCCTTCGATGTAAACATAGGGTGTGTTAAAATTAAAGTATTTAAAAAGTGTATGGGCTTTACTTGTTGGTTTGTTTGAACGTATTTTTGACTCAAATATATCTAAATTTAATGCCAACATATTGGCATTACGTGTAGTATGTAAGTGTTGGATATTTTAATAGTTTTTAGCTCACCTGTCATTTTGTGACAGGGTGAGCTTTTGTGATCGCTTTTCGTCTGGCGTCTGTCCGGCGTCCGTAAACTTTTACTTTAAATGACATCTCCTCATTAACCACTAAGCCAATTTTATCCAAACTTCACAGGAATGTTCCTTTGGTGGTCACCTTTGAAAATTGTTCAAAGAATTTAATTCCATGCAGAACTCTGGTTGCCATGGCAACCAAAAGAAAAAACATTAAATATCTTCTTCTAAAAAAAACCCAAAGAGCTAGACCTTAGATATTTGGCATGAAACATCTTCTAGTGAGTGTCTACCAAGTTTGTTCAAATAAAAGCCCTGGGGTCAAAATTGGCCCCGCCCCAGGGGGTCATTGATTTTTCCCTATATGTATATGGTAAAAACTTAAAAAATCTTCTTTTAAAGAACCCAAAGAGCTAGAGCTAAGATATTTAGCATGAAACATCTTCTAATGGGTGTCTACCTAGTTTGTTCAAATAAAAGCCCTGGGGTCAAAATTGGCCCCGCCCCAGGGGGTCATTGATTTTTCCTATATGCATATTGTAAAAACTTAAAAATCTTCTTTTAAAGAACCCAAAGAGCTAGAGCTAAGATATTTAGCATGAAACATGTTCTAATGAATGTCTACCAAATTTGTTCAAATAAGAGCCCTGGGGTCAAAATTGGCCCGGCCCCAGCGGGTCATTGATTTTCCCTATATGAATATAGTAAAACTTAAAAATCTTCTTTTAAAGAACCAAAGAGCTAGAGCTAAGATATTTTAACATCAAACATGTGTTAATGGATGTCTACCAAGTTTGTTCGAATAAAAGCCCTTGGGTCAAAATTGGCCCTGCCCCGGGGGACATTGATTTTCCTTATATGTGTATAGCAAAAACTTAAAAATCTTCTTTGAAAAAACCCGAATAGCTAGAGTTTAGATATTAAGCATGGAACATCTTCTAGTAAGTGTCTACAAAGATTGTTCAATTAAAAGCCCTTGGATCAAAACTGGCCCTGCCCCAGGGTTGTCATTGTTTTTAAATATATGTGTAAAGAAAAAACTTTAAAAAAATTCTTTTTAAAAACCCAACAAGCTAGACCTCAGATGTTTAGCATGAAACATCTTCTAATGGGTGTCTACCAAGTTTGTTCAAATAAAGGCCCTGCCCCCGTGTTCACAAAGAAAGATCAGGATCAGGATCAGCCGATCCAGATTTTATTTTAATTGTTTTATAAAATTAAATCTGATCGTATTACGCTAGAATTAAATGATACATATTCAAAACGTAAATATTTGCTTATTTGCAACCTATTTTGGGATAAAATCAACAAATATTTAAACAAACAGGAAAATAATCGAATCAAAATGAGGAACAATTTTAGGATCAGGATCAAAATTTGAATCAACTATAAAATGCCTGTATCTTATAAAAATAACAATAAGTTTATTCTAAAATTTCATAATCATGATATTTCAAGTCCAGTTTTATCAAGTTAATATTAAATATTTAATCTATGAGGATAAATAATGGAGAATATTTGTGTTTTTAAATTTGATCCTGATCTTGATCCTAATCCTTAAATCTTTGTGAACATGGGGCCTGGGGTTTAAACTGGCCCCGCTCCGGGGGGCCTATATACAGGTGAGCGACTTCAGGGCCATCATGGCCCTCTTGTTGTAAATTTGTCCAGTTGAAGTCAAAATTAAAGACAATTAGATGGAAACACTTGTTTGTTTTTTATTTTTCCTGAAACATACTACTGTTCAACTTAATATCAAACAAAATCATAAACACTTAATTGTTAAGCAATAATGTTAACATAAAGTAAGAATATATCTCTTGTGAAAATTAAAAAGACTTAGTCATTGAGTTTCACTACAAAATGGTATCATACATAAATCAAAATGTCCCATACATTACATATAATTGTTCTTATGTTACTTACTCAAATGACTGTTTCAAATAATCATTTTGTCTAATAAAACATTAGTAGGTCAGTCTTCCATGATCTGATCTAGTGCATACATTTCGCTAAGACCAAAAACATTATCCTTGACAGTAAACAAACTTGTGTACACATTTTGTAAACATTCTCATGTAAAAAGTATGATATTTTATTTTATTCACATGATATATATTAAACATAACAAGAGAACAAGAACTACTTTCACAAAACGTTTGATAGACAACACTTATAAACATACTGCTTGCTAAACTGTAACAAAAAAAAACAAAAATTTAGATATTTTCATTTTTGTCCCGTACGTAAGCTTTACAGTAAGGGCCATATCGCTTGTACTTGAAAAAATATTTTCTCTCGTTGGAGGCACGTGCTCATCGGATTCTTCATTTTCATTATGAAATTGTTTTGCTCCTTGGTTATTTCTCCTCTTTCCCCTGTATCGTACCTGTCTGATTCTATTTAACTTTCTCACACGCTCCCTCTTCTTTGAATCCATTTCAGAGAGAAAGGTACTCGAGACCTCTTGACCCTTCAATCACTGTCCACCTGGAAGCGCCCTTTACTCCCGCATCCTTTGTGCTTTAGATTTTGCCATCCTGAAACGCACATAAAAAGATCATTCTACAAAACTACCTCTCATAAAAGGAATGTACAGGACAATCACTTCATAACATACAGAAAAACTTTATATTATAGCAGATCATATGTATTAACATTTTCTATTGTAATGTAGAGAGACATTCGACAGAATAAGTTCTACCTTATGTACAGGGCTGGGAATCAAAACTGCGTCGTATCCTACAAAATGTAAACAAACGCCGCCATCTTGGAACGAAAAACGTATGTTTTTGTTTA